TATATTATTATACAATATTATGTTATTATACAATACTATATTATTATCTTACAATATTATATTGATTTGTTTGTATAACTATACGGTTTTTCTCAGTATCACAGTCTGTCACGATACGATTTCGATTCTATTCAATGCACAAGTCTATCGATATATTGTGATATCAAATGCCCATCTCATTTACATATAAATAATTTTACAAAAACAATTCAAATATGATTTAACCATTGTATTTCTGTTATTACAGGCACCAGGCATTTAAAAAATTTTTTTCTTAATTACAAAATAAAAATAAATGACCTGTTCAGTATAGTCTCACGTTTCTCATGTTTTAAGTGCATTTTTTTAAACCAGTTGAGGTAAAAGAGCTCTCATGACCTGTCAGTCATAGATAAACCAAAATAGATATTGATCTTCCATAGTATGGCTATCAGTGCCGTGTTTGTTCTTCAGGTGAACGGACATATTTGTAGTTTCCTGAGTATTTGAACTCACACTGGCACCTGTTGCACATGACATGAGTTCTGTCTGTCATCATCAACCTTTATTTAGACAGGTAAATCCCATTGAGCCTCGAGGACTCATTTACAAGAGAGACCTGATTTCAACAAAGAAAGATGACAACAATGGACAACAGCAACAACAATAAGCAGTTATAAAAACTCATACTACAGTTTTTTTTTTTTTTTAACAAATAGGATGGCTAAAAGGAAAAAGGTAACAAAACCAAAAAAACAGCTAGATTCCAAGACAAATGTAGAAAACTAAAAACAGGAACATGTCAGCATTGGTCCCTGCCAGGAGTCCAACAGATTCTTAAAGCCACTTAGAGAGGTCAAGGTCGAGAGCTTCAAATCTTTTTGTAAGATATTCCAGGAAACAGGAGCGGAGTAGGAGAAGGCCCTTTTGCCTAGTTCAGTCCTCACTGAGGGAACACTGCAGGTAATGATGTCCTGAGAGCGCACTCCGTAGCTGCACTCACGCAGAGACATGTAGGAGGAGATGTATGAAGGCAGCAGACCAGGAAGTGATTTAAAGATGAAGATGTACCAGTGAGAGAGTCTGTGTGAAGTTAATGGTGACCAGTTAACCAATGAATACAGGGTGCAGTGGTGGGTACGATAATCACAGCCAGTTATGAATCTTAGTGCACCATGATAGACAGCATCCAACATCTGCAGGGTTCTTGTAGGAGCGTTCATGTAAATAATATCACCAAAATCAATTGAGGGAAGGAAAGTCACAGATACAAGGTGTTTCCTAGCATTCAGGGTTAGACAGGATCTGTTTCTGAAAAAGAAACCCAGTTTAATTTTCAGTTTCTTTACCAAGTTTTCCACATGGAGCTTAAAAGAAAGATGTGAGTCGACCAAGATACCCAAATATTTAAATATATAAATAAATATTGTATATAAATAATATTTATATTTAAATAAATATTGTCTGTGTTTCCAATAGTTACCTTGATCATCTCATATCTCAATATTGAACCTTTTTACAATATTCTAATTTTCTGAGATACTGAATTTGGGCTTTTCATTAGTTGTCCGTTATAATCATCAACATTCAAATAAACATTTGAAATATATCAGTCTGTGTGTAATGATTGAATATAATTTACAAGTTTCACTTTTTGAATGGAATTACTGAAATAAATCAACTTTTTCATGATCTTCTAATTTCATGACCAGCACCTGTAGTTGATGTTGTATAATTTAAAGATCTCTGCTGATATTATTTTTTCATTATTGGTCTCTACATCATGTATTATTGATGATTGAATAGCATTTTGTTGTCGTCGTCTTTTGTTCCATATTACAAAAGTACCATACCATACCACTTTATTTATAGAGCACTTAAAACAGCAACAAGGCCAACCAAAGTGCTGTACAGACAGAACAACAGGTAACACACAAAGCACAATACAAAATGAGGTAAATCAGAATATAGACATAAAACGATGCAGATAATGACGACAAACCAGTGTGGAGCATACAGGATCAAACACAGATCATCTGGTGTTGAAAGCTACTGAATAGTAGTGAGTTTTTAAACGGGACTTGAAAACCGAGAGGGAGGGGGCCTGTCTGACAAGCAGAGGTAACTCATTCCAAAGTCTTGGTCCTGCTACAGAGAAGGCCCTGTCACCTCTGCACTTAACACGAGTTCCTGGAACTGTGAGGAGCAACTGGTCCGCTGACCTCAGGGAGCGTGGTGGGACATACGGTTGTAGCAGATCAGAGAGATGGGGGGGGGGGGGGGGGACACTGTTCAGTGATTTGTAGACATACATGAGTATTTTGAACTGGATTCGAAAGTGAACTGGTAACC